GCCCGGGCGGGCCATGGGCTGCACCAGGGCCACCCGCGCGGAGGCGGCCTGCCGCGGCTTGCCGCAGCAGAAGTACGCCTGCTGGCGGGAGGCGCTGCTGCCACCAATGAATGGGGCCCTGGGACACACAAATAAATACACACAAATAAAACGATGCCCAATATTTTCCCATATTTTCTGGGTTTCTGTCTCCCCCCCCACTTCCCATATTTTCCCATATTCTCCTGGGAGTCGACGATTAATTGTGTCTGTGTGTTTTTTCCCCTCCTGAATGAAGCGGGAGAGCGTTGGAAGGAGCTTGGGCTCCCGCCCGCCCCCCGAAGGGGACGGAAGGCGTGCAGCCGCTCGATCCTCGAAGTAGGAAGGCGTTTAAGGAGGCAGACTGGGATCTGGGAGTCGAAGAATACCTACTTTCAGCGACTGGTGGCTACCCTTCGGTCGGGCATGTCCCCCTACAGTTTTCTTTTTGTTTTGCACAAAGGCTAAACACATACACCACACGGATCACCGAATTCTGAAACAATGGTCCTCGGACTATCTTTTGACCACTCTATTGGATCTTCCTCCTTGTAGAGGGGCAGGCCCGACTGAAAGGCCACCCGAGGGAGCGCTTTACACTGCCCGGCCCCTTTAAGCTAAGAGAGTAAGAACCCTTCTAGGCAGAGCCTAGGTAGGGAAAAATTGTCCTCGGACTATTTTTAGACTACTCTTGGATCTTCCTCCTTGTAGAGGGAGCGCGGAACCGAGAGCGACGAGAGCGGCTCCCCGGGCCACCGCGCGAGGTCTCCGCGGCCACGGGCCGGCTCCAAGCCGCGGCCCAGGATGTCGGAGGAGCGGCCCGGGCAGGCCGCGGCCCCGCCCAGAGCCCCTTCCAGAGCTCCCTTGAAGGGGCCCTGGGACACACCAAGAAATTCACACGAAGAAAACGATTCCCCATCTTTTCCCATATTTCTATTGGATGTCCGTCTTCCCTCCCCCCCCCACCCCCCATGTTTTCCGATATCTTCGGGGGGATCGACGATTCCTTGTGTCTGTGTGTGTGTGTGTGTTTTTTCCCCTCCTGATCCTTCTCTCGGCGTCTGGACCGTGCAGCAGGCACAAGGCTTCAGTCGGGCCTGTCCTCCAAGAGGGGGCTTCTGTGCGAAAACTAAAGGACAGTAACAAACATGCCCCCAACATGGGAACACACATACTCCAAGAAACGTCCCCAGACTATCTTTTTGACTATTTTTTGAACCTTCCTCCCGTAGAAGGGCGTGCCCGACTTCAGCCTGGACTGTGCAGCAGGCACCGGCCATCATCGGGGGCGCGCAAGAAAGGATCGGCGATCCGTGTCTCTGGCGCGCGGTCGCCAAGAGTCCGTGGATTCTTGGCGCGAGGTGCCCTCCCCAGGATGCGGCCGGTGCCGCTTCGCTCGGCGGCGGAGAGCCGCCAGTCCCATGGAAGCGGGGCCCGTCGCCAAGCCACGCCCCCGTGATCCATGTCTGCGATCGCCGGACACAGGACCCCTTGCTGCAAGAGGTCTGGGGGCGCGCTCTGCCTCACGCTTCGGACCCCTCCCCCGCAGGAGCTCCATGGGGTCCTCTGTGGCCCCCCCCCCCCCAAGACGCCGCCGGGGGATAAAAGGCACTTCCGCGGGGCACCTCTTGGCAGGTCGGTTTCTCGTTTGTCCTGCAGGCGGGGAGCGCTGCGGTCGGGAGCTCGGATCGAATCGTGTCGGCCGAGATCGATATCGAATCGGATCAACCGGATCGACGAGTACGCTGGAAGGCTCCATCCCGCCCGTTCGCGCTCTGCTCGGCAGTGCCTGGTCCGCTGCCTCTCTCCCGTCTCTGTCTGTCTCTCTCTCTCTCTCTCTCTTTCTCTCTCTGATCCTGGGGGAACAAAGAATGACAAAAACACAAAAACTCGGAGGTCCGCGCGGATTTTTCGGATCGGCGCTCGACCCCCCTCCCTGGCGCGCGGAGCGCGCCAGGGAGGGGGCCAGAGGCGCCGCCAGGGAAGGCCAGCGCGGATCCGAGAAATCCGCGCGGACCTCACAATCGCTGACCCCGCTCCTTGGCCTCTGCTTAGACGCAGCCAGGACCGGGGCAACGTCGGACCAGGACGAAGCGGGGATCTCGGAGGCCTGGCGAGTCTGGAGGATGTCTCTGGCGCCGCGGCCGTTCCAGAGCGCTCCAGGAGGCTCCGAGAGCGTTCCGGAAGGCTCTGGATCGATCGATCTATCTTGGTCCTGGGCCCGCCTGATCTGCCCCCTTGAGGGGGCCGCTCCTGGGCTGTCTTCGCGGGGACGATCGACAACTACTCAGCCAGGTTGAATGGCCACTGGGCCAGATCAAGCCAGACCAAGATCAAACCAGATTAAGCCCAGGATTGAGCAGGATTGAACAGGATTGGGCCAGTACAGGTCGGTCCTCGGCGGCGGATATACTGGCGCCGATACTGAATAAACCGTTCCAAGAGTTGCAACCGAGCCCCTGCTTCCTTCCCTTCCCTTCCCTTGCCACTTCTCCTTCTTCCCGCCTTCCCCTCTCTCTCTCTCTCTTTAGGGCGAGCGATGTTATGAGGCGACTGGCTCGGGACACGCTCCAAGGTCGGGCACGTCCTCCTGCAGGGGGAGTTTGGGAAGAAAAATAAAACATTGGCGGTGGACAAACCTCCCTTTAGTAAACCTCCCTTTGGTGAAAACGGCCCAGGACCGAAACCGACGGACCTGGACCCGCAAACATGACGGCCGCGACGCCCTCTCGCGAACCGAAGACGGCCAATTCGCTCATCGACGCGTCAGGGTGGGAGGTCCATCCACCTCCGAAACAGACCATCGAGAGATGCGGGACAGTAATCAAAAAGTGCCCCTTCCCCCCCCCCCCCAAATCGCCCCCGGGCTATCTTTTGAGATCCTCCTCCATCAGAGGGACGTGCCCGCCTTCGTTCCAGCCCGGCCTCCAGGGCGGGCAGCCCGCTCGGGGCTCCGAGTGTCCGGGGGTCGAGCGCGCAGATCGCCCGCCCGCGATTGCGCACGGCGCCCCGGCTTCGAACTCTGGAGGGAGGGGGGAGGAGGAGGGGGGAGGAGGAGGGAGGAGGAGGAGTCACATTCATCTGTCAACGCCTCCCCCTCCCCGCAGTTGTTCAAAGTTGGCGGCGGGTCTGATGAGCTGCACCTCGACCGCGGTCTCCCCCGCGCGTGCCAACTTTGAGTTTGGGGGGAGGGGGAGTGTTCAGAGATTGTTTCCCTCTAGTGTATCTCCCTCCTCCTCGCCGTCGTCATCCTCCCTTTCCAGCGACTCAGCCCAGAGCGAATCACATCATTATTGTTAATACGATCATGTATTACCTACAGGAATGAGGGACAGCGACCGGGGGGGATCGACTCAGGGGGGGAACATCGAGCTGCAACAGGCGATACGTCGCCGATAAGCGATAGGCCTCCGATAACGAATTCGCGCCTTCCTGGGCGGGGGAAGCTATCGGGCCCCTATCGGCCATGCACGGGCGATGGGGGATCGATGCGTCCCCCCCGAGCCTGTGTCCCAGCCGTATCGGTGCCCCTGATCCGAACGGCTTTCTGGCCACACCTCGGGCATCCGGCGGCCGCTGGGGACGATCTGGGCACCTCAAGGACGCTCTCGGTGAGACAGGCAACGCTGCTGGAGAGCACCCTGGAGCCGGAAGATCGACGAGAACCGACGAGAACGCCTGAAAACCTCGAACCCTAACGCTTCCCCCGACAGGGGGAGCCTCCTGACGTTGCCCCTTGAGTGAGCTCAGCTCCTGGAGTGTTTGGGGCCCCGCGGCGGCGCCGTGCAGCAGCAGCACACCGCACAGCAGCCGAACATGGCCAGCAGAATCCAGCCGAAGATCTCCTCGGGGAGACGACGCCGCCGACGACGACGGCGGACGTGGCGGCGGCGATGACAACGAAAGACGACGACGGCCACTGGCTCTGTCGCGGGGTGCTGTTTGAGTGTTTTTGGCTCTGTGTCTGTGGAGGCCTCCAGGGACCTCTGGAGACCTCTGAAGGGTAGCACGAAGACACCCTTGACACGCGTCTCGGCCACCAAGGCCAAGTTCTGAGAAGGCACTCTCCGAACATGCTCCGCTACAGCTGTGGACGCTGAGGTCAAGGTCTCCTGTCATCCCAGAAGCCTGCTGCGGGTCCGCTAGGAATATCCCCATCACAATTTTTTGGGCAGAGTTTCCAGGGAGGGTGATTCTTGGCTCTTTTCAAAGGAATGTGTACAATCCATGGCTCCAACTGGTGAAATCCAGAATGCCTGGGACTCCAGATGGAAGCGCCAGAACTTTCTGTAGAAGCCTTGGAAACCATGGAGTACCTGTGGCCCCACGTCAAACTTTCCAACGGGGCTTGCCTGCCTCTAGGTACAACTCTCATGGCGCATCTTCTGCAACCTGAGCATGGCTCTGGTCGAGGGGGAGAGTGGGTGCAGAGGGAAGGAAAAACGTGAGAGGGAGAGGCTACCTAGCTGACACCAAGCTATGCGAACATGAAGATCGAAGATGCGGGCGACGAGAAGCAAGAGCATGTCGGGTGCGGGCCCGGGCGAGATGATCTCCTGCACTTGGCATATCGGGAGTGGCTCTGGGGGCTCGTCGGGCGCGCTGCCGGTGCCGTTGGGGCACAAGTGGTCCGCGTGCGTGCATGCGAACCTTAGTATATGTCAGCAGCGCAAGCAGCTCAGGGATCCCCCCACTGCAGAAGGAGATATAACTGATTGGTTGACAGAAGTGCCCAAACCCATCGAGACACGTTTAGGTAACGCGCTACGTAATGGTCAACAGGGGCCACTGCACCCATTGCCACCCTCAAACTGATATCCGCAATGAGGACCCCTGGCCGAGAGGCACCCCGTGTGCACGCTCCATTGCATATTTGGGAAAGAAGTTGTCAATTCTGTGCAAGGGTGCACATGTGCACGGATAGGAGACACTGAGTTTGTACATTGGGCGTAGTGGGACATGTGCGAACAGCGAGGTTGACTATCATACTCTAACGCATGTGTTTCTGCCGTTGACATGGCGCGCCTGTCGGGTGATGGACCGCTGGGGCTGCCTAAGTAGCAGACTACTTCCTCAGTGCTTCCTGCTTCCTAACTCGTATGTGCTCCTGACTTACACCACTTCCTTCTGACAACGTGTTCAACAAATACTGCTGGCGCGCTCCAAGAGCCCCGGACGGATCTCCTGGCTGCTCGATTGCTTGATCGACCGATCGACTGCCTTCAAGCTGCCTCAGACTTTGCATGTCGGACTGGTTGCCGTTTTTTTCTGCTTCCCATCTCGCCCTCTCTCTTTCCACCCGCTCCTTTGCCTTCTCGGCCACCGTGCCCCGAGGCATGAAGCGGAGTGTTCCCCAAGCTTCTAGCGTTCGCTGTATGCAATATTCAATATTGACATATCCTACTTGGGGGCGGGGGACACAACATCTCAAATCTTCCGGACGCTCTCGCGCTTTCCCGGGCTTCCCCGCATAACTTTTGCAGAGGCCAGACTCAACGGACGGGCCAACAGGGCCCCAAGAAGCGCCCAAGAGGGCCCAAGAACCGGCATCCAAGACAGCCCGACAGCGCTCCAAGACGCCCAAGACGGCCCCAAGATGGTCCAAAAGGCCCCCTAAGACGCTCCAAGAGGGCTCTAAGAGGCCCCCCAAGAGGGCCCCGAGATGTCAGAATCGCTGAGATCAAACATTTTTATGTACTCGCCTTCTCTGGCTTTCGATGCTCCAAGACGGCCGAAAAGGCCTCCAAGAGCGCCCCAAGAGGCTCCCAAGAGCGCCTCCAGACGGCCCAAGATGGTCCCTAGACGGCCCAAGATGACACCAAGACGGCCCAACAGAGCTCCAAGATGGACCCAAGAGAGGCCCCAGAGGGTGAACAAACATTCGCCCCAAAATGGCTCCCGAGACCGCCAGGAGGCCCATAAGGGTCCCCCCGCAAGCTCCAGCAAGCCCCCCAAACACCCCAAAACTAAATCAAAGAAGCTTCCGCGATGTCTCCCAAGAGATGCTCAAAGGCATCCCATAGGCCTCCGACATACAATCCAGGCAAGGTGGCGGGGCGTGCCGAAGGCCGCTAAATCCGCCGCCCCCTGTAGTCTTGCCACAGCGGTGCCTGGCGTGCTGACTTTCTTACGGTGTTTGGTTCTTTTTAAGACTCCCCCCAGTGCTTCGGTCCGTTGCGCCTGTCACCCGAAAGGCCGCACACTCCGCCGAGCGAACTGCCCAAATCGCCTCCGAGACGGCCAAGATGGCCTCCGAGACGGCCAAGAAGATCTCCAAGCTCTTCCTTTTCCTCCTTCTCCTCCCACGTGTTCCCCGAAGGCTTTCCACAACGGGTGGGGGAACACGTTGCCCGACAGCTTAGCCGAGCTCTGGCCACAACGTTCGGCAACATAGGCGCTTCCGACAAGGCAGGGGGCGGCGGTGATTCGCCGTAAGCGTCTCTGATCTGCCGCCCCCTGGTGATTCAACACAGGAATGAACGACGTGCTGAACTTCAGAGGGGTTTTGGTTCCATTCTTAAGAACTCCCAATGGGGTCTCAACCCAGCCCGGTGGCCACCCGGAAAACCTCCAAGTCACAAGTCCTTCCAACCCAGGACGGCCAGTACTGAGGTCAAAAGGCCTCCAAGACGGACAAGACGGCCTCCAAGAAGGTCCCAAGACGTCTCCAAGATGGCTCTAATACGTCCTTCAGACGGTCTAAGAGGCCCCTCAGACGCCCCAGGAGGGCTCCAAGATGACCTCCAGGAGGCACAACTCACTGATACTCGATCTGTTTTTCAACGATTCGAGCTTTTTCGCCTTTTCGGGCTTCCGACGCTGGAAGATGGGCCCCTAGGCCTCCAAGATCGCCCAACGAGGCCCCCAAGAGGCTCGCAAGGCCCACGAGGGCCCAAGAGGCCCCCAATCAAGCCCCAAGACAACCCCAGAGACCTCCAAGACGGCCATAAAGCGGACCCCAAGACGGCCTCCGAAGGCCAAGAGATCCCATAGAGGCCCAAAGAGGTCCCCAAGAGACCCCAGAAGCACCCAACAGGCTCCCAAGAGGTTCCTTAGAGCCCCTCGAAAGGCTCCTCGGAAGCCTCCATGAGGCCTCAACAGGGCTTCAAGATGCCTCCTCTTCTTCATCCTCCCTCTCCTCCTCCTCCTGCTCCTCCTCCTCCTCCTGCTCCTCCTCCTTTCTTTCCCTCTCCCCAAGGTTCCCACAAGGGGCTCCACAACGGCTGGGAGAACACATCGTCCAATAGTTTGGCCAAGCTTCGGCCCAACGTTTGAGCGCATGGGCGTTTCCAACTGGCAAGGGGCGGTGGTGATTCGCCGTGGGCGTGCCGCCCCCCGTAGCTTGCCACAGGGGTGCACCAGAGGCCCTCAGGCAGCTCCCAGGAGGCCCCAAGAGTGCCCCTAAGAGGCTCCCAATTGGCCTCCTCTTCCTTTCTCCTACTTGCCTCTCCTCCTCCTCCTCCTCCTCCTCCTCCTCCTCCTCCTCCTCCTCCTCCTCCTCATTCTTTTTCTCCCCCACGCGTTCCCCGAGGTGCTTACAACACGGCTGGCGGAGCGCATGGTCCGATTGCTTCGCCGAGCTCGGGCCGCAACCTTCGGCCACACAGTCGCTCCCGAAAGGCCCGGTGTGGCGGTGATTCGCCGTAGGCGTCTTCGATACATTCTTCTCCTTCTCTCTCTCTCTTTCTCTCTTTCTCTTACACACACACACGCGCGCTCTCTCTCTCTCTCTCTCTCTCCCACTCCACCTTCCTTCCTTCCCTACACATCTCCCTCTCTCTCCGTCTCCGCCTCTTCTCTCTCTCTCTCTCTCTCTCTCTATCTATATATATATATATATATATATATATATATTATATACTAGAACCACGCGCGCTTCGCGCGCGCGTAGGTTCTGTCGAGTCACAGACCCAGGAATCGTTGTGAGAAGAAATTGGTGACGCGAAGCGTCGTGGGGGCGTCCTTGGACGTCTGGGGTCTCCTGGGGCCTCTTGAGGGGCCTCCTGGGGGCCTCCTGGCGGCCTCTTGGGGCGGAAGGCTCGAGCTTGCGGTTCGTGGTCCCCCTCTGGGCCCCCTCTTGGGCCCGTCTTGGGGCCCTCTTGGGCCATCTTGGGCGCCTCTTGGGCCGTCTTGGGGCCCTCTTGGGCTGTCCTGGGGCCCTCTTGGAAGCTTCTTGGGCCGTCTTGGGGCGGTCTTGGGCGCCTCTTGGGCCGTCCTGTAACGTCGGAAAGCCCAAAAGGCGACTTTGTGGAACATGTACGTTTTACGAAGGGAATGGGTCAATTTTTGCGTCTAGGGGCCCTCTTGGGACGCATGTTGGAGGCTTCTTGGGGCGTCTTGGGGGCGTCCTTGGACGTCTGGGGTCTCCTGGGGCCTCTTGAGGGGCCTCCTGGGGGCCTCCTGGCGGCCTCTTGGGGCGGAAGGCTCGAGCTTGCGGTTCGTGGTCCCCCTCTGGGCCCCCTCTTGGGCCCGTCTTGGGGCCCTCTTGGGCCATCTTGGGCGCCTCTTGGGCCGTCTTGGGGCCCTCTTGGGCTGTCCTGGGGCCCTCTTGGAAGCTTCTTGGGCCGTCTTGGGGCGGTCTTGGGCGCCTCTTGGGCCGTCCTGTAACGTCGGAAAGCCCAAAAGGCGACTTTGTTGAAAATGTACGTTTTACGAAGGGAATGGGCCAATTTTTGCGTCTAGGGGCCCTCTTGGGACGCATGTTGGAGGCTTCTTGGGGCCTCTTGGGGGCGTCCTTGGACGTCTGGGGTCTCCTGGGGCCTCTTGAGGGGCCTCCTGGGGGCCTCCTGGCGGCCTCTTGGGGCGGAAGGCTCGAGCTTGCGGTTCGTGGTCCCCCTCTGGGCCCCCTCTTGGGCCCGTCTTGGGGCCCTCTTGGGCCATCTTGGGCGCCTCTTGGGCCGTCTTGGGGCCCTCTTGGGCTGTCCTGGGGCCCTCTTGGAAGCTTCTTGGGCCGTCTTGGGGCGGTCTTGGGCGCCTCTTGGGCCGTCCTGTAACGTCGGAAAGCCCAAAAGACAACTTTGTTGAAAATGTACGTTTTACGAAGGGAATGGGCCAATTTTTGCGTCTAGGGGCCCTCTTGGGACGCATGTTGGAGGCTTCTTGGGGCCTCTTGGGGGCGTCCTTGGACGTCTGGAGGCCATCTTCAGCATCTCGGAGCCCTCTTGGAGGCCTCTTGGAAATTTCTTGGGCCGTCTTGGGCGCTCCTGGGGCCGTCTTGTCTGACCGGGGAGGCCTCCGGCAAGCCCCGACGAGCCTCCGGGCCCCCCGGAGCCCACATTTGCAGTCGAGGTCCCGGCCCCGGGCCCCCGGACCCGGTGCGCCGTTATATGTGTATATATATATATATATATATATATATATTATATATATACATACAAGACTGCAGTGGCGCTTCGCGCCATGCACCTTGGTCCTTGAAGTTTGGTTTGCAGGCGGAATAGCAGGAAGATCAAGCCGACAATTTAGCGATAACTCCTTGTTGCCTTTTCCGGCATCGCCGCTATGATAATGATATTCGTTATCCTTCCTCCATGCTTCTTTTTCCTCATGTTCGCCATACCCTGCGCATTCTCCCTATCCTCCTCAGCTTTTTTTTGCGGAGGCTCCTCCTGGGAGAGCCTCTGGGGGCCTAACAAAAAATTGTCTCAGGCTTTCTTACGGCCTTCTGGAGGCCTCCTGGGCGTATTCTGGGGGCCTCTGGGGGCTTCCTCGTGCCACCCTGCCTCCAACCACGGTCTCCCTGAACGACCGGGTCACGATTTGGAATGCTTCGGAGGGTGTCTTGGGGCCATCTTGGGCCGCCATGGGGCTCTCTGAGGGCCATCTTGGACCCGTGTTGTGCCGTTTTGGGGCTCTCTTGGACTGCCTGGAAGCCCTTTCGGATGGTTGTGGGGCGATTTGGGAGCCTCCCAGGTGGCTTCGGACGCCCAGAAGACCGCCGTCTTGGAGCGTCGGGAAGCCGAAAAGAGGAGAACCCCCAAATTCACCAAAAACTGTTAGAAAATCAATGGTTTTTGCCTCTTGGGAGTGCTCTTGGAGGCCTGTTTGGGGCCGTCCTGGAGGCCTCTTGGGCCATCTTGAGGTCACGTCGGTCATTCTTGGAGCGCTCTTGCGCTGTCATGGGGGTCTCTGAGACGTCTCCGATGACCCCCCTGATCGCCCTAGGTGTGCTGGGAAGGCTCGGCAAAACGCCCTGCGAGGCCAGGGGGGCCGCTTCGAGGCCCGTCCGGAGGGTCCCAAAGCCCCAGATCCCGGGAGTCCGGTTTTGGGGGGGGGATGGGTTTTCCCCCCCGCCCGGGCTTATAAAAATATAGGAAGAGGAATCTGTATGTATGTATGTATGCATCTCTCCCTCTTCCTCTCCTCCCCTACCACGCTGTTCTCTCACCCCCCTCTCTCCCCTTCCTCCCCTCTGTCTCTCTCGCTCCCTTCTGTCCCCTCCCTTCTCTCTCCCCCTCTCCCTCCCTCCCTCTCCCTCCCCAGCGCCTGCCCCTCCCCGCGAGAGCGAGAGAGAGAGAGAGAGGGGTGCCGCTGGGAGGCAGGCCCGAGGTGGGCGTTCTCCCAATCAAACTCGACGAAGTACCTGTGCTCCACATGGCTTGTTACAAAAACTAATGAATCGGGGATGGACAAACCTCCCTTTAGTAAAACGTGGTTTAGTGAAAACGACTTCGGGCCCAAACCTGGCGGGCGCAAGCCTGGAAAATAACGGCCACGGCGCCCTCACGAAAACCGAAAACGGACAATTCACTAATCGACGTGTCACTGTTGGGGGTTCTGTCCACCCCCGAATGAAGAGGCCCCAGGACACACAAAAAAAACACACAAATCACAAATTATTCCCCCTATTTCCCTTCTATTTTCTGGGTTTCTGTCTTCCCCACCACTCCCCATATTTTCCTATACTTTCTGGGGAGTCGACGATTGATTGTGTCTGTGTGTTTTTTCTCCTCCCGAGCTAAAACGAAACCAGGAAGAATGTAAAATCGGGCGAGGATAAACCGAGAATCTCTGAGATCCCGCGGCTTGTCTTCCCCACCACTTCCCATATCTTCCTATATTTTCTGTGGAGTCGACGATTCATTGTGTCTGTGTGTTTTTCTCCTCCCGAACTAAGACGAAACCAGGAAGAAGATCAAATCGGGTGAGGATACATCGAGAACCTCCGAGATCCCGCGGCTCTGGAGAATGCCGCGGGCGCCGCGGCCTTCTCAAAATGCTCCGGAACGCTCTCCGAGCGTTCCGGAGCGCTCTGGAGCGTTATCCTCGTCCTGGCCCCGCCCGAGAAACCCTTGATTTATCGGCTCGCCGCTAGCGAAACTGGGAAGTCGATCGACAGCCCTATCGCAGGATCGTCCCCGTCCTCTCCTCCTAGGTGAGACGGCGCCTGCGCGGAAGGAGGAAGGTTGGATTGAGGAGGGAGACGACGAGAAACGAAGGCCGAGTTTACTTCCGACAACTTCTGCTGGCTTCCGCTGGCTGACTTGCATGCTTTCCTTCCGCCAGGGAAGAGATGCCAACTTCTCGATCCCTCGACGATCCTCGAAGGCCAGGCCCTTTCCAAAAATCCCTAATTATAAGGCTTCTTTGACGATCTTCGGGAACATAATGCGACAACCTCGGCAATCGGTCTCACAGAAGGCTGGGCATGTGAAGTATCTTGTCTTCGCGAACGTCGTACTGCGGCAATTGACCAGGATTACTCTCGCCACGACGCGGCGACTCATTCAAGCAAGGCCCCAAACTGGACTTCCTGCAATCGTGACACCTGGCTGACCACATGCTGCGGCCGCAGACCCCCAAGACATGTCTCGGCTCCAGATGTGCGGCCGAGTGTGATGGAATCGTACGATGTTCTTCTAAATTATCGCGAGCGCGGTCATCGAGGGCGTTCACCATCAACCACGGCGTCGATGAGCCTGACGTGCGCCTCGAAGGGCTGTGCTTCAGAGCTCACTCTTCCAGTGCTGCGTTGTCCATGACCCAGCGCTTTCCGGTGCTGAACAGTTCGGGGTGGTCTAGATGCAACCTCCTCCTCCGAACTCTTGCACGCAATCGGATGCCAGCATCCCGACGCGGTGCAATTTCAGCCGCCTGCGCTCCAGCCTGTGTTGTCTCAACATGCTCTCGCGATTATGGCTCTGGATCATTGCATGAAATACACTCGAAAAAACACATATGGCGGAAGAGCACAACCATATGCAATAGTGGGTACCGCGTTGTGGGTGCCGTTGTCGGTGGGGCTCCCTATGGGGCCACGACCCTCGTGCAGGGTGTGCCGAAATGGGCGGGGGGACGCATGCGGACCATGCCGCTGGGGCCTTCGGTGGATCTATGCGGCAACGATCCTTGTGAGGAACGTGCCGAAATGGGCGGGGGGACGCACGCGGACCCTGCCACTGGGGCTTGCGGTGGAGCTTTCTATGGGGCCACGGTCCTCGTGAGAGGTGTGCCGAAATAGGCAGGGGGATGCGTGCGGACCCTGCCGCTGGGGCCTTCGGTGGAGCTCTCAATCGGGCCACGGTCCTCGTGAGGGGTGTGCCGAAATTTGCTGGGGGACGCATGCGCGCCCTGCCGCCGGGGCCTTCGGTGGAGATCCCTATGGGGCAACGATCCTCGTGAGGGGTGTGCCGAAATGGCCGGGGGGATGCGTGGGGACCCTGTCGCTGGGGCCTTCGGTGGAGCTCCCTATGGGGCCACGGTCTTGTAACCGTAAGCGCAAGGCCCCTGTATTCCTATATGCATGTAAGCGTGTGTATATTTGTATGCATGTATGGATTCCCACCCCTCCTGTTTTAAATTCTCGTTTTGAAATACGGTGAGGGCATGTTTTTTTCCTCTTCAAGGGCCGCGAGGCCCGTGGGTGGAGGAGCGCCAGACCACGGCCTCGGCCTTCTCCATCTCGGTAAGAAGCGCAGACGATGCCCCGCTGAGGCCCAGGTACACACCTGGGAGGCGGTCGAGCGCTTCTACCAATATCAGGAGGGGCCTCGGCCACGGCGCTGACGCTACGGCCTGGGCAGCGGCTGCATTCGCCACCCAGGCGCCGGGCTCCCGCGCCCTGTGCGTGAGGATGAGCGCGAGCTGCTGCACGGCACGCTCGATGCTCAAACTCTCCAGGGAGCGAGCAGAGGCGGCGCCGATGGGCGAACGAGGGAAGAACTGCACGTTCAGCGCATCCAGAAGCGACTGGAGGCCCCTCAGCTGGGCGCCAGGAGCCACTTGGGGCACCCTAGCCTGCGGCATCCCGTCGACCACGGCCCTCTGCGACTTCTCCTCCTTGATGTGCTGGTTGAGGGCAACTTCGCCGTCCAGCTCCCTTCTGAGAGCCAGCCGAACGGCCCTCGCGCGCACCTTCTGCATCATGCCCGCGCCCAGGCTGGACTCGGCTCGCCGCGTCTACCGTGCGGCCCAGCGCTTCGCCACAGCCGCCGCTTGCTGCTGATGGCCGACCCTCTCGGCCAGCCGCCGGCCTCGCGCGAGGTCCCACGGCGCGCCCTTCTCCAGCCCAGCAGGGCGCCACCCGACCGCGATGCCCTCCACGAAAACCTCGGCCTCCGCCTCGGGGTCCACCGCCTGCCAGACGCCTGGCGCCAGCCGAACCGAGCCGCCTTCCCCCTCGCGTTCCTCGTCCTCGTCCTGCTGCACGTGGAAGCCCCTCACGTGAAGCCTGCCGCACAGCTTCTCCTCCGCGCCGAAGCCTGGGCCGCACGCGCCCTCGCACTCGACGCCGCTCTCCTGGCGCTCGTCGCCATCGGGGCCCCCGCCGCAGACGTCGTTCCTTGCCAGCAGCTTGGCCTCGAAGTCCGCGACGTGCGCGACCACGGCAGCCTCCAGACCCTCGCTCCACGCGATGGCGGCACCGACAACTCCCAGGCCATCAGCCATGCCATGTGCGCCGAGCCTTGGGCCATGCTGGGCGCAGCGCCACTCGGCCAGCGGTGCGCCCTCCGCAGGGCACCGCCGAGCGTGGAGCGCCACATTGCGGATCAACCGCTGCGCGCCCGACTCCACGCCCCCTTTGACACGCGCTTCCAGCGCCGGCCGCGCCAGGCGCTCGCGACGCGCGACCTCGGCTCGCGCGCCATGGCCCGCGCCCCTGGCCCACAGCTGCGCCTGGGCCTGCGCGAACTTGGCCTTGGTCTCCTCTAGCTTCTTGACCAGCTTCTGGACAAAGCGGTCTGCCGAGGCGCGCGCACCAGCGCCGCCTCGCAGACGCTCCCGCGCCATCCCGCCCAAGCGCCCGCTCGCGCGCGCCCGAACTAATAGCTTGGAGCCAAAATGGCTACGGACGGTGAGGCATTTTTTGTTCTTAAAAACTCATCGCAGGCGCTTGGGCGCCCTTGTCAAATTCGAGCGTGCATGGGGCGGGTGGGGCACTCAGGAGCGAGCCGCTCAAGGCCCAGACTCGCCCTCCTGGGGCCCGCCGTCCCCGCGCCCTGCGGCCGCGCGCACGCCGCGGGCCTCACGGTCCCGCGCCGCCTCCAGGGACCCGAAGCCGTGGGCCCTGGCGGCGCTCTCCAGCGGCGGCAGGATCAGCGTGGCTCCGTCGTACTGGCGCTGGCGCGAGGACTCACCCGCGCCTGGCCTACGGCCGCCTCCCGCGGGCTCGGGCGGCTGGGGCCTGCCAGCGACGCCGCTGGCCGCACCTGGGTGGGCCTCCTGGTCAGCCCACTCGGCGACGCCGAGCATCGCCGCCCCGCGCATCCTCGTGGCCGCCGAGGGCGGCGCGGCCTCCTTGGACCCAGGCTGCAACCTCTTGGCCAGGTCGTGCCGCGCCTGGGCCCGCGATCCAGTCCTGACCCGCTGCGCTGACCCTCTGCACTCGTCCCGAAGCCCCTTCCAGGCCATCCTGGGGGCACGGGCGTACATGTAGCACGCTGTGCAGACGAGGAAGGGCTCGGCGGCTTTGGTGAGCACCTGCCCCTCGATGAGCTGATGCCCGTGGACCGCCCACGGCCTCCCACAGCTGCCCTCGGGCGC